GTATGCATATTCAAAAGTTTTCTCAGACCAGTTACCCTTAACTACATTCTTTAAATGTTTTATTAATTACAATTTTCATCTAGAACATATGCAACAGCATTTTCATGTATATGCATTACAATCCTGAGGTAGACTGCATTAATGTAAACATGTCAATGCTTATGTTAGTGAGAAAAGTTTCAATAACAAAACATTTAATAAACACTTTTTTGGGCAGTTGGTCTGAGAACACCATATTACATGCATACCTTTAAATGGTGATCATGATATTCATTTTATAAGAAATGGGATGATAATAATGAAGGTGATAATAGTAATAGTAATGATGATAACAATAATGATAATGATAGCAATAATGATGATAAAGATAAAGAGGATAGTAATAGCGATGATGATGATCATCATCATCATGACAACAACAGCAACAAGTAACAGTTGCAGTAAAAAGGAAAAGAAAAAAAGAAAATTTTGATAGAGATAATGTTCATCAAGATTATGAACAAAATGAACATGAAAATTGTTATTACTTTTATTAGTATAATCATCATTGATATTTTATTATAAGATAATGATATGAAATGATAATGATGATAATAATAATGGAGACAAAAGCAATGATAATAATAGCATTATCATTGTGTACAGTATTTTTATCCATGTCATGATTATCATTGCGTTATAATTATTATCATCATTGTCATCATCAACATCATCATTGTTATCATCATCATCATTATCATCATTATTATCCCGTTGGATTCGGTTGCATCACAGAAATTGCGATGACGAAAACATGGGCAGTAATGCAATGTAAGTAGCCAACATCCCAGGTGTGTGGCGCGTAGGCCAGGCATGCATGAACACCCAAGAACGGTGACAAGTGGTGCTTTCTCTTTGCAAAGTTATTTTGTGTAAACTTTTTTAGCTTTATCACCAGTTTCCAATGTCTATATATGTCTTTTGATTTGCTTTATCCAGATGGTAATAGCTTATTTTCCTTGCACAGACTCCATATCATCTCAGTATGTAGTAAATAGCTTAGTACAAGAAAAAAAAATTATGGAACATTTGGTTAATTGTGTCATATATCTCATTTTTTTGTAATTTTCAACCTGCACCGCTGGTCACAGTGGCCAGGAATACAGTCACTGCTTACGCACGTTACATTCCATATTTGTTTATCGATGGGGATAATGCTATAGCCCCCTTCTAAGTGTCAAATGAGTCAAGTCAAACTCCAAGAAGTTCGTGTACTCATGGCGAGTCTTTAATGTCACCCTGGCCTTTGCTTATGAAGTTCACGTCACCCGGTCCGCAGCTATTTTGCCTGATGTCACCCACCTCTCGTGTCATTTGGGTCCAAGGGGTTAACAATATTGTCATATAATAATCATAATGGAAGTAATGATAATACTGATATTACCATTATCATTTTGTATACTATATTTATTCTTGTCATTATCATTGCTTTAGTTATCATCATACTCATCATTATCATCATTAATATGCTTATCATCATCATCATTATTAAAAATGTTATCATCATTATTAACATTTTTTTTGCTGGTACCACCACTACAGGGTCACAAGAATCTATAAGCAAGCATTTGGCTAATATTCCCACAACGATTAGTTATTTCCGTTTGGTAACCAAAGTGACTCCTCATTCTTCATGTGACTTACTGGCTTGCATCAAATAGCCACAGCCCCAAGTTTAACGTTCACCCAGCTATCAGACTTAAGTAAACAAATTATATCCTGACTTACTTGACATCCAAGTCAAGATTGTCTTAATGCTCTCTCTGCAGTAAAGTTGTGCATATTAATGTATGGAGATACAGTCTTCTTCTTTTTCTTCTTCTTTCATTGGTTATGAAGAAATGATATTACTCAATTAGTCCTTTGCAACTTCACAGTTGGCCACTAGATCATAGTAAGCCCAGGTTTTGGCTAACTTAGTGGGTTTGGCTCCTTGAATGCAGTGTTTAAGATTGTACTAATTATTGATGAATGAAGAGGCAACCTAGATTGAAGGCCTGGGGAAATCAGTTGTAGATAATTTATTAGGTTGTTGAAATGTATTGGAGAATGTCTTGTTAATTATGAATATTATGAATTAATTAACATTGGAGATAACAATTGTGTGAGTGTATTTTCAGACCTATTCATTTGTTTTTCTATCTCTTTACAGGCCATTATGTGGTGGCCACGTACCTGGACAAGTACCTGTGCTGTAACCGCCTATTCTGGGTCCTGGTGCGGGACAGACCCCAGCCACCGCGTCCCACAGGCACCAGCTGTGTTGGGGGCCGAGTGTATCATGTAACTGCCTCAGTCCCCCCTCTCCCCCTTTTCCCAACTTTTAATCTGTACACCACAGCCATTAACTACAGTTGCAGCTTCTCTTGACTAAGCAAAGTCTAGCCAGTCTAAGAAGATTGGGCTTTGGGGACTTATCCTAGAGAATGTACTCATCCTTTGTGAGTGCATCAAGCTTGGTACTGGCGGGTGAGAGGCTGTGTGAGTCAGATATGTCTTCCTGTAACTGATTAGTGCAATAGTTTGATATCCTTGGCGGTGCTTCAGATGCATTTCCCCCCTTCCCGTATGAAAGAACTGACATAAAATAAAAATGAATTTTTCAAAGTCCAGTGTGTCCAACCATCTCTTTTATTTGGCTGGTTTGGTGTTGGGTGAGGGGGGAGACTGAGTGTGGTGCCAAAGGGGTCAACAGGGAAGTGCTCGGACTGCTAAGAAAGGCCACCTGAAAGGAAGGTAACTCATGAGAACTTTCTCCCTGGCTGTTACAATATTCTCTGGGGCACTCGTCATCATCATCATCAAACATCCTCGTGACTCGAAGCATTTTATTGTTTTAATGTTATATTATTCCAAACCAAGAGTTACATGCAAGCATCTACATGTGAAAAAGAAGAAAAAGAAGAATAGGCATCTACAAGACGGTAATGGCAAGATTTGGAATTAGGTTTACTGAAAAATTACTTTAAGATATGTAGAAATGAAACTTTAAAAATGGGAAAAAGATTAAAAAGAAAATATTGCTCTATTGAACAATAGGAACCAGAGTATGGAGCTGAATAGCAGCTAACTTCTCAGGAAAATGGATGGAATTCCAGTGTGTGTCGAATGACCTTTTAGAAAATGTTATTGCTGTTTGCATTCAACTTGCTGAATTGAAGGAAACAAAATATTCTTAACGGATTGGCAGTAGCTGCCCACCTTGGGAATGTTTGACCTCAGGAATGCCCTTCCAAGAGTCCCTACTGCCAGAGTTAGTTCCTTGAGTTGAGTACCGACAAGGTGGGGTTTATTGTACTATGTAAGTACTTTTTGGGAATGCTCCCAGTTTTATGGTTCTGCATTTTCTTAATCTGAATGTGTCTAGTTCTGTGCATTGAAACTGTGGAGTGGATGCTGTGTTATGATAGTAATATTTACAGTTTGTTGGCATATGTTCTTTAAAAAATAAAAAATAAAAAATAAAAAAAAAATCATAAAAATCATAAAAAAATAAGACTTGGTTTTTAGAGCTAAGATCAGCATACTTTGCATCCAGCCATTCAATTTTGCAGCTCATAGTGCAGCTTCAAGCTCAACTCAGTAACTCAGGCATAAAAAATATGGTTGTGCCCTCCTGGCAAGTGTTTGAGTGTGTGGAAAAAGGGTTTGGGTTTGTCAGTCAACCAATAAGGACACATTTTGGGCATCCATTTATGGAAATGCAAAAACGAGATGAGTAAAAGTTATATTGGCCAGAGAGCCTATGAATAATGCCATTCAAACACAGAGAAAATGATTGAAAACAATGAAAAGATGCTAAAAAGTATTTGTGATTCGTGAAAGCATGTAAGAAATAGTTTCAGAATCAGTTGAGGAAAGATGAGGGAATAGAATTCAAGAATGTGTCCAGTATTTTTTAGAGGGTAGGCTTTGGAAATATCAAGTGATAACCTTCTAAGCTGGTACAAAAGTCTGACGACCCTGCCCAGTAAAATCAGTTCTCTAAGGCCAGCAGAGGGCCACGATTGGGCTGCCTCTTTACCGTCAGCTCAGGATACCCTTCAGTGACCACCCTGTTACCACTTTGCCCCCACACACGTACATACCCTCATACTGTAAATATTTGCGCCTTGTTTGTAGCATTACAGAAGTTGTCGCCAGCAAAACGGAACTAGTGATTATTTTAATGTGGTTTATTTGTGAAACCAATGGTGCTTTTTTTCTTCTATCTCCAAGATGAATGTTAACTGTTGTATAATGAAGAAGCCAACTTGAGTGAGGACACTGGCACATTGCCCACTCAGCATTGTAAATACCTCATGCCTGTACACAGCCTCATGACCTTTGGCATCCAGACCTCACCATGACAGATCATGAGTGCTTTTGTTCTAATTGCTGTTGCCTCTTGCTTGAGGATGAGAAGCATTTTATCACCAGTTGCCTGGAAACTAAGAAGCTGGGAAAATGTTTATAATAGCCAAATTGGACTGAAAGAAGAAGGAATTTTAGAATATGAAAATATAGAAAAGGGAGCTGTGATTAGAATCAACTTGGGTTTTAAGTTTCTAGTTCAGTATTGCAAAAGTGGCTGTTTACAGAAATTTACTATTTCAAAAATATGATGAGAAAATTTATTTGTAAGTTTGATTGGATGGAAAATACACATGTTGATATTGGCTGTGTTAACTGAGGCTGTAATTCTAATAATATTGCTGTCTAGCCTGAGGCTATGGTGTAATAAAGAACACAGAGCTAAAGAAAATGGTTGTGAGGACTGGAGCCGTCATGTGATAGACTGGATACGTATGGGGACTCGTGGGCACCTGGCTTGTGTCCGAGGAAACCCACTTAAATTTGTCATCAAGACGAAGATTAATTGTGTATGGGGAATATTGCTTTCACATTCTCTCTCTTTCTCTCTCTCTCTCTCTCTCTCTCTCTCTCTCTCTCTCTCTCTCTCTCTCTCTCTCTCTCTCTCT